AAAATGAAAAGTTACGCCAAGACCGAAAACCCTAACCATCAACATCACCTTCCTCATTCACGAAACCCTTCAGATCTCAGAAATTATCACAAAAAGAAAACAATTAAGCTAAGACAAAAGCCATCGAGTTATCAAGCAACCATCAAAAACTCTAAACAAATTTCATCATCATTTTCCCTAACACTAACCCTTTAGATCGAGAAAGATAAAGAAGAAGGGAGTTCAGAAGAAGATGTAGGGTAGTCTTACCCGAAAAGCAACGAAGGAATCGCGAATCTTAAGTTAGGATTTATGAAAATCCCCTTTAAGATCTACTCAAATCGCCATACCTTATGCAAAATGAAGAACCATAATCAAGATCAGAGCAGAAAAACGAGAAGAACGGTGTAAAAAAATGAGATCGGAGCAAGTTTGTGCTTCGCCGCCACCTTTGTCGCCTCCGGCGAGCTCTATGAAGAGAGAAAGATGAAGAGAATCAAGTCTGAAGAGAGAGATACATAAGTTTTTTGATTATATTTGTCATTAAGATTCTGTTTTACATAAATTTAATTTGGGTTTAATTACTAATCTGGCGGTGACACTTGTCACTTCCCTTATGGTTATCGGTTATTTTGCGCAGCTACATCCACAGTATCAACCATGCACCCTCACTCATTCTGCCATCAGATTCGTGCAGATCCAGATCTAGCGGCCTAAAAGCGCACGTCCACAGTACACTCTCCAAGAGATGCTTCATTAGATCTCGCGAAATATGGTACTTCCCTCTCAAAGTCTATCATGCACCCTTATCTGTTTTTAGCCATCAGATCTCCATGGTTTCAGATATGAAACTCCAGAAATGCCTCCTCATGATGCGCCCTCACTAAACAGCTACTCAGTATCAGGCTAATTGTCCTATTGGGCCCAACAAAAATCTTTTCAGCACCCCCCCTGTTTGCTGTTATTTCTGGCCCATTAGTTCACTTTCTATCCATATTTATTTATCTTTTCTTTGATATTTCTTTAGTTATTATTTTGATTTCTATCATAATAAAAAATAAAAAAAATATATTTTCTTATCCTAAGTAAATAATTAAACTAAAAAATATTATTTTTTGTATTATTAATTATTTTGCTAATTATTTTATTAAATAGATTGTATTAGTTTAATTATTCGTTTATTAAATTCGATTGGGTTGTATCGATTGTTTATTTAGACTATTAATCGAACTTTCAATTCGTCATCCCCATTCATAAATTTGTACCCCCATTCCCGAAGCGTTGTAATAGCGTAGGACATTTAATTTCCGCAACTTACTACTTTCCTTATTACTGTTAGTTTAATAAGATTGATAGTAAGATCTAAAACAAACGATATATAACCATAAATCCAAGATAAGTTAACTAAAATCAAAACACTATTCATACACGCACATCTAGGGTAACTTCCCTTGTTACCTTCGGATAAAAACAGTCATGTCCCTCTAATGTGGGACGCTTTAGCAAAGAGCCTCGGTTAAAATATCGTAATCCCTCGATGACCCTTCGATGCTGCCTTCGGTAAATGATCTGAGTCCCTTACGACAATTGCTAAAGCGTCCTACAAGTTACCTTTTATGATTCTACAATGACCCGCGCCTATCCCTCACATCAAACGATAGGGCTTCCTACTAACTAATGGTAGAATAGAACTATCTAAAGGAGGAGGAAAAGAATGAAAGACCATTGAGTAGGTAGATCGCTCATAATAGCTTGCTCATAAACTAAAACAATTTTCACACCTCACACTTTAAAAAATAACTACCTTCAAAATTCTTTAAAAACACTCTTGAGGACTGATACAAGGTTTATTATAAAGAAAATTGCCTTACATTGGCATTTTCAAAAACACTTTTCATAAAAAACAACACTTTCTTTCAATAAATATTTTCAAAACAAACATTTTTTATACATTTTCAACAATACGAGAATCATTACAAAATTGTCGTACTTAGACATTTTTCAAAATATTTTCAAACATACACAAACACAAAGTATTTCAAAAAGTGAGCTAGCTATTAAGAGCCCGTAGATAACTACGGATGAAAAGGGTGCTAACACCTTCCCTTTTCATAACCTACCCCTCTTACTCAGAAAATTCTCAAAAGGTATTTCCACTTCTTTTCACCCTTTCCTTTATTGGATAAAAGAAAAGTCAGTGGTGACTCTTGCTATCCACAACATTTGCAATAAAACGCAAAACCAAAAGTCAATTCTCCCACTATATTACAGTATGATCCGGGGTGGATTGTTCTTTGACAGTGTTGACAAACCAGTAGATTTGTGGTTTATTTCTATTTTTCTTTGTGTATTCTCTATTAGTCTGGTTTGTATATGTATTTACTTTCAACTCGTGTATATTTTTCGCTCATTGCATTATATGAAACTTGCTTTACAAATCTTTATTGATTATTGTCCTGGATTTTTGCTCTGTCCTTGGGATTTGGTTGTTATAGACTTATACTACTCAGATTCTTATCAAGGATGATAGTCTGTTATTTTCTGGTTTCTAGAGATAGATTTCGAGTTGACACTCACTTGGGTGTCTGTGATTAATGCCTATGTATTTGATGTGTCAATTTGAGAGATTGTCGACGCGATTAGCAAAGTTGACTTCTTTGTTGTTGAGGTGGTTGAGAGATCGCTACCGAGGTGATACCATAGGCTTCTCAATTTGGGTTAGAAATGACTTAGGTTGTGAGTGATACGGGGTGACATTAACGAGTATTATAGGTTGTGTATAACTGGTCGATAGGTTTAAGTCTGTGAGTATATGTACTCTTGATAAGTTATTCATTTTTCTTTTATTTTTGTTTACATTTATTCTCTGTTGATAACTTTTACCCTTCTCATTAAAACCTCAAACTCAACGAATGATTTGTCGAACCGCGAATCGATAGCCAATCTCTATGGACACGATGCGATACAACCTAAATATCACCTGGTAAAATAATACTTTACTTTTTGCTTGTCGATATACCGCTGCAACACCATTACAACTGATCAAGGGTCAGTGTTCACTGTTTGAAAAATGCAAGTATTTGCTAAAGAGGTAGGGATTAAATTTCTAACATCTACGCCTTATTATGCCTAGTTGAATAGTCAAATCGAAGTGGAAAATAAAGTAGTGATTGTTTTAATAAATAAGCATGTGGGGAAGAATCCAAAGAATTGGCATAAGACCTTGGATCATATTGTGTGGGCTTGTCGAACGTCTTCTAAAGAGGCCACCAATGCTACGCCCTTTCGATTGACTTATGGGCATGATGTAGTGTTACCAATCGAAATCTATCTACAATCAACTAGGGTTCAAAGACAATATGAAATTCCATCAGAATCTTATTGGAAAATGATGTTGGATGAATTGGTTTATTTAGACGAAGTAAGATTAAAGGCCTTAGAATTATTAAGGAGGTAGAAGAAGAGAGTAGAGAAAGCATATAACAAAAAGGTTAAGATTAAAGTTTTGTTAACTGGGGGGTTGGTATGGAAAGTAATCCTACATATGGATCGAAAAGATAGAACATTGGGTAAATGGCCCCCAAATTGGGAAGGCCCAATCCAAGTTATCCAAGTCTTTTCGAATAATTATTACGAGATTGAGGAGTTAGCAGAAGATCGAAGACGTCTGAGAGTAAATGGCAAGTATTTGAAAATATATAAACCCATACTTCAGGAAGTCAAAATATTAAGAGAATAAACGAAGTGGAAACTAAAATCCAAAATGGTAATATAAAGTTACCAAAATGGCTTAGTTGTTCATTATACATCACCAAAATTCGAAGTCATAAAAATAAAAATACTACAACATTTCACTAACCACTGAAATCAGGTGGAAAAGAAGCCTTCATTCGCCTATACTTCGTAGCAGATACCAATAAGTGATGCTCAATCACATATTTTCCAATCTTCAGGTCATCAATCTCGGATTCTAATTTTCGGGCCTTCTCGACATGGTGAACATCTTCTTTGATTTCGTCATCAAGATGTTTGCAATCGAGCTTTCAGATCCCTTCTTGATGATTTTGGGCTTTTCGTATGTTAGCTTGCAATTCTTCAATTTGTTTCTCCCAAGCAGAAATGTTGTTTTCATAGTTGTTAAGTTCTTCTTGATTTTGCGAAAAGGATTTCTCCAGCACTTCAACCTTGGTGGTGGGTTGAGTGGCTTCATTCCACTCCACTGTCCGGGTCTCCACTTTGTCTTCCATTTTGGTCAAAACCTCTTATTTGCGCAAAAGATCTACAAAGAGGTTATCAATAAGAAACCCAAGCTCAACGACGACATCTGTAGCTGTTGGAGAAATACTCAGTATATCGACGTGTTTTAACAATTCCTTGATTAAATAGAAAGCATTCACATATTCTCTAACAATTGATTCAAGTTAACATAAAAAACATTTTCCTTAATTCGTTGAAGAATTTGATCAACGGGTTATACGGAAGCACGACCACCAGACACGGTCGAAAAAGTGGAACCTTTCTCATAAGAGCTTGCTTTTGCGTTCATCATGGCCTTCAGTAGGATTGTTTACTTTCAAGTTGTCCAATTCTTCTTGATAAAGAGAAACAATAGTGGCACTCGAAGAAGGCTTGAAATCCTTAATCGGCCCAAAAGGTTGGTTAGTATCACATGTATCATCTGGCTGGTTTTTTTTTTGTTTTGAGTTTCTTCTTTGCTATGCGGCTCCACAGTGGCATTAGACACATGTTCATCTTCATCAATTAGTTCATCTTCTTCATTATTGGGAATTTTTGGTGAAGGGTTTTCTGGTTGTTCCTGACCCTGATCCTTTGTGTTTGGAATTTCCACTTCCATATCGGCATGTTCTTCATCATCACTTTCGCTATCAGACTCAAATAATTGTAATGGTTGAGGTGAAACAGGAGTTAGAACATTTTGTTGAACTTCACCAAGAAGATTGACGTTTTTGTTGGATCCTTTTTTCGATCCTTTTTGGGATATTGGATGAATAGAAGAAGAGCTAGTGCTCACAGGAATATCGTATTTGATGCTAGAAAGAAAGAAGAGAATATCATCAATCAAAAATAAAAATTGTAACGAAAGAAAAAGTAACTTGAAGTTAAAATACCTTAAGTCCCTCGTCCCTGGGACTATATTTATCACTTTCAACTTGTTCAGGAGCAGTGTTGGTTGGCTTCGGATCAACGTCTATCACTCTTTGTGCATGTGGCTTCATTGGCCTAAATTTGTTGGTAGTTTTTTGTTGGACTGGGTCAAACAATTTTGATTTCTTCTTCTTTTTGGAAGCTTTTGAATTTTCTGGGGATGGGTCTTCAGGATATGATTCGATTGGTGTGGGTTGTGGGTTATTTTGCTTTCGTTTCTTTGGAGTTACAAGAGGTTTTTGACCGGTATGAAAGGTCAAAGGTATTAGGAAATTTGAAAGATTTATGCAATTATGACATTTTAAAATTTGAATAAATACCTTTGTGGTTGGCTTCATAAGGGTTGTTCCATCATCTTGACTGCCTCCTTTCGAGGAAGCAGCAACTTTTCTTGCAGCAGCAACAACAATAGCCTTATCCTTTAAGCTTTTCCTTCGATCAACAGCTGGAAAAAGAAAAGAGACGAGGTTAGAAAAACATGTAAAAGAGAGTTTATGGACCAAATTGAAGGATTCTCCCATTCCATGCCTTCATATATTGGCGAAAGTATGAGAACATGCTCTATGTCAACATGAAGGTGACTTTTGAAACTGTCCAGCGTATGCTTAGTCGGAACCACTTGTTTAGAAATTTTTTTGTGAATCTTGTTGAAGGAGTCTTGAATGAGACCCACGGACAAACCATTTTGGGAATGAAGGTCTGAATGTCAAGCCAAAATCAGCACTTGGCAATCGTGGGAATTTTGGAGGTTGAAGCTTCAAATCCAACTCATACATGTCTCCGTGCTTAACACGTGAAAGGATTTTTAAATCATGGAGTTTCTTCATAAATTTTTCCTTCAAAGTTAATACTGCATCATGGATGGTTCGAATAAGATTATCTGGTTTATACATTGTTTCGAAGTATTTCTGGAATGGTTAAATCTCCTTGATATGATTTGTCGTACCTTTCTTGAATTGGTCCTGTACAGAAGCAAAAGTATGAGTTAGATGTTGGGTAAAATCCGATACGTCGAAGATTTCTTTGGTGTAGTAGTCCCTCCACTAAGTAGCAAAATCTTGTGTGCAGTAAGATGATGGGCGAAAGGAGATGGGAGTAAGAGTGGTAACACCAGTATATCGAGAGAAGTGTCTTTCACACTCATCCCTAGTAAACCACATGATGTAGAGGCACATAACACCCTTCTTGTCATAAAGTGGTTTAGGAATTATGTGATAAGGCCAAATTGTCGAGAGACCATGTTAGGTTGATAACTAACCAAATTACTATGACTCTTCGAGGGCCTCAGTCTATTGACAAGTAACTTGGGGGTAAGAAATGATTCCCGTATGGTTATGGATTATTATTATTGATTTGTTGTTGAAGTAGGAAATTCCCTTGTGAACCATTCAGGATCAGGTGTCTTATCAGCAAAAGTAGTCATGGAAGAGGTAAAATTGTGGCATTTGGCAAACATCATCAAAAATGCAATAAAGGAATTTTGTAGATTCAATCCTTCGTCACTGGGGGTTAAATTGGCCAATCTCGTCCCTTTAACTCTCATGTTTTTTATCTCTTCGTCCTCTTCATTGATGGTGTTATGTGTTGGAAGTAAAGGTTCAAATGTGGCATTCAACCACAGTTGAAGTAACCAAAAGGGACTTGCAAAGAGTATGCATGTTCCTAACTGATAGTTCCTCAAATACACGACAGATTCTCCTAGAGACTCATAGAGCAAACCTAGGATCATTTGGGTCAGGCATAGCTTGTGCCACGCATTCAATTGGTTCACCATGGTTAGGAATCTCTTTTCCACTTGAAGAGAACTCGAACAAAAAACACAACACGATAGCCATAGTGCAAGGAAGGCAATATGTTTTTCGTTAGAGACTTCATCAGTGTATTTGATGTGATGATCAGAGATATAATGGGTGAAATGAACTTTACGCCCTTCAAAGTGGATGGTATCTTCATCCATTTCCATTGGGTCAAAAGTTTCCCCAGTTGGTTGAAGACTAGTTATCGCAACGATGTCGAAGAGAGTGGGAGGCATCATTCCACAAGGGAAGTGGAAGGTGTTTTGCAAAGTTCCTCAGAAGTATAATGAATCTAGCAACATGTTTTGACTATAATCTAGATCAGATTTCGACAGCTGAATCAGGTCATAAATCTCCATTTCTTTCATATTTGATATTTCTTCTTCTCATTTTTTGCAAGCCAAGCGAAGTATGTATCATGATCTTTCGCCAAGGGAAAAGAGCAAAACACTCTAAGAGTGTTGCTTGTGTAATATAAATTAATGGGTTTGTTTGGTGTTAAAGCTTCAGTCAAAGACTTTGCTTGATCCTCTACAGGTTTGGCTTTAGCATCAGGTATATCCTTGCCTTTACTATCAGTTTTCCTCTTACTATCCAAGGGTTTTGCACAATGTAAATAGAGGAAAATCCAAGAGTTTCTCAGCATCTTCATTAGGGTCAAGAAAAGGATCCATATATGAGTGTGTTTCACCAAAAATGGTTAGAGGAACAAGTACATGGGATAAATAGATTTTACGTTTCTCTTTAAGTAGATGAGGCTCAGGAACATACTCGTGATTTCTTACCATCGGTGGTTTTGCTATTTGAGTGATTGGGATTGACGCTTCTTTCTGTTGTTTGGATGCTTTGTTGGTTATGGGTGCCATTGTTGAGGTTTGGAGCTTAGAAGATGGAGGATTTGTAAAGATTTTGAAGAAGAAGTTTCAAGAAGACACAAATTTGTAAGCTCAGAAATGGAAAAGTTTTGAAAAAATGAAAGACTAAGGTACTTATATGGATAGGAAGAAGCCTTTTCATTTTTCATTTGAGTGATAAATGAAGAATTAGTAAGGGACATGTAATCTAATGAGAGGACGTACAAACAGATGTCTATACATTTACCTATATGCTCCTATATTCTAGGGGTAATGATTTTCTGCAACGATGCACATATCTATGAGATGTTTTGAAAGTGGTCATTATGACCATGATGTCACATTAGTAATTAATGTCGCGTCGAAAGCTTTCGAAAAATGTCATTTTCTCATCGTGATCGAAAAAAGAAATTTTTAGGGGGAAATTTGTTGGCTATAAATTCGACGCTCAAGTTTAAGTAATGACAATAATTCGAAAAGAATTTGAGAAGATCATTGGAGATAATTAAAGTTTATTTTCAACAGGAATAACATGTGATATTTCGACCGAAGTCTTGGCAAAAAAGGGTTTACATTGGCGAAATGGCGCAATGCTGGGACTTAGCATTTTTTGAAGACGTTTCGAAGTAAGTTTGATAAAGATATTTGAAATGATGTTGATAACTGAATTTTAGCCTTAACCATTCTTTTGAAAAAGAGAAGCATGTAGACCTGCAAAGGGTAGAACACATGCAAACGAGGACGTGTTATCCTCTAAAGAGAAGTCCGTTTGTTACCGTTAGTATCGAATTAGTATAAATAGGAGATTTTAGTGTTAGGATTATGTGTGTTAATATTGTACAAATTACTCATATTTATTCAAAGTACGATAGTGTTATCGAGAAACGAGTTTCTGAGAAATGTACGAATGAAGCACCGTATTTACACTAATGCAAGTTTATTTTCATTAAAGTTGTTTATATTCCTTTTAAATTCCATTCGAAACTTGTCTATCTTCCTATCATTTTCATAAATTGTCTTAATGTTATTTTCAAAGTCACTCTTACTTTCGAATACGTTGGTGTCCTGAAAACTTAAACAAAAAACTATACACTTTCATCCTAGGATCAATCTAGTCGATCCTATAAGTAATCAAAAACATTAAATTTTGAAAGACTAGCGCTTTGTTTACCATATTTAAGATAAACAAAAGCTCTCAAGATAGAAAAAAATTCTAGAAGGAAAAGCCAATGTCAAATGACTTGCTCAAGGTGACAAAAAAAATGAGGTTCCTTCATATGATGACCAAGCTTAATGATACTATTAACCTTCTCAACTCCTTGAAGATTGGTGGAACAGTTACAATACATCCTAAGGAAATCGACAACCATGTTGTTCAACATTTTCATGATTTGTATAACCATGCTGATATTTGCTGCAAGATTACTCTCTTGTGGATGAGGTTATCCCTCAGCTGGTTAGTTATCAAGCAAACAACATTCTCATAATGTTTTCTACTTTGAAGGAGGTTCATCATGCAGTTTTCATCCTGGCGAAGGACAGTGCGTCTGGCGTATAAATCTAATTAGTGCGTCCAAAAATCAACATGTCCTTTCGCACACTTTCTATGCAGACTATATTGTGGTGTTTTCCAAAGGAAACAAGGCTAGAGTTGAGGCTATTAAGGAGTTGTTTAACATGTATTTTGCTTGCTCTGGCAGTTTATGAATAATTCAAAATATATTTTGTATGCAGGTTATATGACATCTCAGAGATACAACATGCTTGCCTATGTCATGAATTTTATTGTTGGTCACTTGCCTTTCCTATACCTTAGGGCCCTTTTTTCAAAGGCAAACCTAAGGTGACTCATTTTCAGGACATCTATGACAGGATCAAGAGAAAGTTGACTTCTTAGAAGTATCAATTTTTGTCAATTATTGGTAGAGCGCTTCTAGTGAGGAATGTGATACAGAGCATGCTACTGCATACCTTGATTATTTACACATGGATAGTAGATGTGCTCAAATATATCGAAATATGGTCCAGGAACTTTATTTGGTCAAGAGACACAACTATAAGGAAAGGTTATTACTATTGCTTGGAAGGATTGTCACCAAAGCGTTGAGGCATGAGGCTTAGGTTTAAGGCCCCTTATTGCTCTTAATGAGGCATATGGTTTGATGAACTATAGGGACCTTGCTAACTCCAAGGAGCAATGAGGCTCTATATTGAGTGCTAAAGTTATTAAAAGTGGAGGATATATTAGACATCATGATATTTCCTCTATTTGGACTAGGATGAAGCAACAATTCCATGTGTTCAAACATAGATCAGCTTGGCTTATTGGTAGAATGGGAAATCTCTTTTGGATCACTTAAACATTCCAGAAGACTTGCACTACCACTTAAGGACTATGCTTAGTTCCATTAATCAAGACTATAAGATATTTTTTCCCCAAGCTCTCATTAATTTCTTCCCTTGTTTGAACATGGTGATTCAGAACATTGAAGTGGCTAGACACGGGAAGGATATGAGAATTTGGTTCCCTAACAATGATGGTTTCTGAACTTGAAAAAATCTTACCTTTATATAGTCAGACATCTTCATATTGTCCACTAGGTCAAAGTTATTTGATACAAAAGTATTTCCGTATTCTCTCTTGTCGTAACCGGTGAAAAATAAGAGAGTCGCCACCACTATTTATTTGTCTTAAGGACGAGAAAAGAATCGAAAAATCTTAATTGTTTAGAGATGGATGGGAAAGTTGATTAGATAAAGGGAAAGTGTTATAAATCATTTATCTCCCTTGTACTCAAGGAAATTCTTTTTAAACCTAGGACTTACGGGAATATTTCATTATTTATTATCATATATATATATATATATATA